TCTTTCGAAGATGTCGTAGTAGAACACAACCGGAAAGTTTTTGTACCCAGTTGGTTTTCTGTGGATTATAAAAGCGGAGTATGTTTCAAAATGTTCAGTACAATATGGGGTGGTGAAGAAAACTTCATATAATAGTCAATAATAACGTAGTAGGTTATTAAATGAATGACAATTTCTTATACACTTATAGTAATTGTGAGATACGTTTCTAATTCTTGCTATTTAATATTACTCCCCACAAAATAATTTATGCATTGTATATTCGAAGTAATTTTTCAATCTTTGGAGCAGGTTTTTCCATTCTGTAGGCATTTTTTACAAGTTTCCATTTTCGAAATTGAGTCGAGAACTAATGTTTTGTGGGAAGCTTCATAGTTTTGTTGAACTTACCCAATTATCTGTTACTTTTTCATGTTATATTTCATGATTTTGTAAGCCATCGTTATATTTTTAGCGTCAGCGTAGATAGCTTTCCTAATGATGCAGGTTTCTCACAGGTCTGCTCCCATCGTTTCTTCGCTCTTTTTTCTAATCTTTGCTTTTCTGTTTCGTGGATCAAGTTATTGAGTAGGTATTCAGAGAATGGTTTCTTTATGTAGAGTTTTATTTGTTTGGGACAACTTTTCCAATTTTTAAATACAGCGCTTTGTACGCAAGGGCACACTTACCGAGGTCTCACGTGCCATCCGCCTCAGCAACTGGTAAGGGTAATCGCTGGTTGGAAGCACACTTGACGTTCCGAGTTTTGTTCATATTACAGCGTCTTTGTTATTCACATCGTTCGCTGTCTTGAAGAAAAAAAGAATAAGTAGGAAATAAAAGTGAAAGTAGCTCAAACTAGCTAAGAGAAACGCAGACTGGGGGCCCCCGGTAATGGTAATCGTGATTCGATCTGTTCCAGGGTTCAAGTTTTTGCGAATATCTCAGCATCGTTGCGATAATCTTTGTGTTTTTGGAGATTCACGCGTCGCTCACATCTCTCGTTTTTTTTTTTTCTAAATAGGCTGAACTATGTTGGAAGTGTTCTTTTTTCACCACTACTTACTACCCAAGTTTAAATTTGTGCAATATTTCATTCGAATTAACATATTCATTTTTCACAATATTCTTACTTGAGTGCATTGGAACAGTAATAATGAAAAGAGATGGGTTTAAATACACATTTGAATGCATTTTCGACAATGCTTGTTTTCCGACTCTCTGTTTCTTTTTTGTGTTTTCTTCTATTTTATACGAAAAATTCTATAACGATCTTTTCCGCTTCACAGCCTCCGTCTTAGACGACGCCGTTGGTGATAAATTGCGCGGGATTCTTCCCTTTGAGGTTCCAATTGCAATAGAAAGAATGAAGACTGGAACAGTTTCAGGACCCGATTCACCGCCGATTTCCTCAGAGTTAGGAGCCATAAACTGCATTTATTTCTGCCAACTAAGGTGGCATCTTGCCTTCAAAAAGAGAAAATTCGGACCATTGAAGGACGTGTCGAGCGTGGGTTGTCCTGCCAGATGAACAAGCAAAATTCCGCCATAGATTCTGCGGCATGGATCATATCGAAACCGTATCATGATTCATGGAAGAATGTAAGGAGTTATGCCTCTTGTTCTAATCTTTACCGGCTACCAGAAAGAGTTTAACAGAGCAGAGACGAATGCAGTCCTATTAGTTTTAGTCGACGGGGTGGACTCGTTCTATACACGAACACCACCTGGCTGCTATAGGAACTGCAGCACGAATGTACAGCTTTTCAACTGACCTCTTACCATACCCATAGGGAAATAGGTTCGACAAGGGGACGCCATGTCGCCAAAAGTGTTTATTACCGCAGTGCTGTGGTTAATGAAGTCACTCGATTGGGACGATAACGGTATTCGCGTTAATGGTTAATTCCTACCATGTTTTCGTTTTGTTGATGTTATCGTTATTTTCTCGGGAGTACCAGTGATGGAGAGACGATACTGAACGAACTCAGCGTAAGGGAAAAAAGATTGGATTGCCCGTAAGTAGGTCGAAGAACCAGGTCATGAGGACCCAGTAGTGCGAAGGCGGACAAATCGAACTGGATGGTTCTCTGATTACAGAAACCGCCTCGTACATGTACCTTGGACGTTAACTGAACATGGACAACAACACGAAGGAGGAATTAGACAGGAGAAAGAGAGAAGTATGGGATGCATTGCATTCGGGCCACTCAAACAAGCCACCGACCAACTAACGCCCCCAAAAATCCACCTTTTCAATTCTGCAGTCCTCTTAGCGCTCTGTTACACATCTGAGATGTGCGCTTGTAGTTCAACCGCATCAAGAAATCTGCTCACCTATCATAGAGCGCTTGATTGATGTCTCTCGAAAAATTTAATCGGCAGTCACAACGTCTAGCCTGAATGCGCAGCTCACATTCGAAACCTATTCGTCTTCAGGATCCAGAAAATTATTCATCGATAGCGAAACACAGAATTATCAGAAAAACAGATGGTAGAAGGACGAAAAGGACAGTGGAGTGGACTCCAAGAGAATTCAAGCTTCTCTTTAAAATACCACCCAAATGATGTGCGCCCGTATTCGTGGCTGACGTCAGTTATCTGTGTTCACAGATGGAATCGATTTTAGAAATTTCGAAGGAAAAGAAAAAAATTCGAAATGGGTCTCCTGGACATCACCATGTTCGAAACAGGCCACCTCCTTAGACGACTATTGCGCAAGAAAAAAACGCGTGGAAATTATGCTGAGGCCTATACGATCAGTAATCACTGGGCATCCAAGTATCCAAGGAATTATTTTGTTTGACCCGACATGACATTTTGTGCAGATTCTAGTACTTTTCCATTCGATTTGTTTCCCCATATCCTTCGTCCACGACGATTTTCATATGAGTGGGTGGTTTACACTGCTTCTTGTGCGCATGTGGCGCAGTTGTCGGAGGCGCCCTACAATATACATGGGGTCGATCTCCGCACCCATGGCTCACCATGCTTTCCATCACTCCTAGCTCGGCAAATTGGTACCAGAGTTGTCTGGAAGGATAGCAGACCTATCTCGATATATCGCTAGGTCTCCGCGAGTCATTGTAAAAGCCAAATATGCGTTCAAGCACCTCTAACAATGCTCAATGTGGATTGCATGGCGCACCTTTCAGGGATTGATCAATGTCGAGTTTTATTTTTCATCTTTTACACTGCTTCTTTAGGATTGTTGGTCTTCTTCACGAATGTTGAATTATGATTGAACTCCCAAATCTCGTCGATAAGACGAGGTTTTCCAGACAATCCAGGCACAAATTCCTTGACTCACAAAAAATGAAAGGCTTGGTTGACTTGGTGTGGAGACGCGCCGGTGCGTATTAGCCGGCATCACTAGCACTACGATATTCTCGTTTGATTTTTTAATTACTGCTAATAGTTTTTCAATTACCTAATATCTTGGGACATTACAGACTTATGGAAAATACCTTACTGTACTACTCTAACGGTATATTTAATTGTTTTCAAGTATTTTTAACTCAAATTCAGTTCGAAGTTTGAGTTTTCAGAGATTTTTCAGCGGAAGAGAAAAAAGAGGTTTTGAAAACCATACCAAATATCAAAATCCATAGACTTAAGCGATGCATTCCAGCAGTTACATTTCGCAGCTCGTTCAATCATTTCTCTGCTATATATTCGGGTTTATACAAAGAAATGAAATGATATGTGGTCTCCTAAAATTAGACTTCATGGTTGAGTTAAGAAATCGTTTATCTATTACTAAAGATTTGCAGAATAATATTTCTAGTTAATGAAGCGGACCATGAACTGAGGATATTTGTTTTTTTCTTAATAAACACACAAGGTCATTACTACGCTCCTTTCTCACGAAATCCGACGTTTTTTTCTGCGGATTTCTCACTCTTCAGGGCCTGGAGAGTTCAAGTTGACTGCAATCTATTTAGCCTAGTGTCTCCATAACCCGAACAGAAAAGCCGCGAAACTTAGGTTTAAACCGCGTTGGAAGCAAGATGGCTTCTTCGTACACTCCTCGCTTTCTATGAGTCTTCCAATGAATATACTAAGTGGAGACCAACCTCACAGTGTTCACATGGATGAGTAATACGTGTTTAGCACATTAGAATACCACTAAGTAATATTGTGAGAGATTAAAGTGGTAACGCGAATTGAGGAAAGAAAAGAAAAATGACCGGTGGAACGAACTTTGTTTTTCTCTGCTGTTCATTTTTTGGATTCTCGGAATTTATCCGGAATGCTTGAAGAGTTCTGCGCGCCGAGGTTTTCTGTTCCTGTGCTGGGATAGTAACTTACACCACAAAATCTGTTTTGTCTCTGTGTCCTGGGCGCGCATAATACCTGCTTTCCTATAAAGGATTTGGATGCGAATGATAGTCAAACGAGTAGACTAGCGTGCATTTATGTAAAAGAATACCTAGGTAAGAAACGAAGTCAAACGGAACACTTCACAGGGTACGAACGGGATAGAAGAACATAATGGAGAAGATTTTGAAGTAAAATTTACTATCCTCGCATAGGATCTAGAACATAGGGCGTAAAATTCTCGAGGCATTTAGGATAAATTCTAAACATTCAAAAATGAACCGCAAAGGGAATTGCCTCGTTGTTAGTCGTGATCTTACACAATTTCTTAGAATAATACTTTAATGTGGGAAAAGCGCATAATCCATTCAATGTGAAGTCTGTGAGATTGGTCTCCACATGGAGTACTCCGCGGAAGACTACTTGAAAGCGGTGAGTGTGCGAAGAAGCTATTCTGTTCTCAGTGCATTTGAGATCTTGGTTTCATGGCTTGAGGTTATGAGGCCATTGGTGTATTAGATTGTAGTGGATTTCTAGGTACTGAAGAATAGGAAATTCGCTGAAAGGTCAGCTTTTGTGATTAAAGAGCTTAATCACAGCCATGTATATGCTTATCAAAAAAACAGTGAATTATTGTCAAATATTTTCCATTTTCCTTATGAATCATATTTGAATCAAGCCGTCGTGGTGCCATATTACAGATGTTACAAATTACGCTCGAAGAGGGTGATGTGTTTTCAGCATGGTTGTCAGCAAAAGACGCTGGCTTTGAAGACTCGGATAACAAGAGTACGTTCGTTTTCATGGAATATTCGTAAATAAATAAAGCTGTGAACCATTATATTTAAAAAGGACCATCCCAGTGTTATCTCGTTAATTTGTGCTAGTAGGCTTGGAGCTCATTTTTCATCAGTTTTGTCCACTTTTGAACTTTGTGAATCTTCAAAAAAAAAAATGGTCACTATTTAGCTAATTCTTGGTAATTCTTCGTATTTTTTTGAGCAAACGCGAGGTGTTATTATTCTTTATTCACGAATAAGCTGACGTTTCGGCGGATTTCGCCTTCCTCAGAGCACGGAAAGGTCAAGTTGATAGCAATCTGCCAGGCCAGACGCCTCCATAACCAAACAAAGAAACTCTAAACCAAGATTTCAATCACGTTAAACACAGCTTTGCACACTCACCGCTTTCTATGAGGTTTCCACTAAGTATGTCACGTAGAGACCAACCGCACAGAAATCACATGGAAGCATAATGTGCCCCTCCTATCAGAATAGCAGTCTTATATACTGCCCTATATCACGCGTGATAATGAGGCATTCTTCCCTGCGGTTCATTTTTGGATTTCTGGAATTAATCCAGAATGCCTCGAGAGTTTTTCGCGCCTGTGTTCTTGATTCGCATGCGAGGATTGTGACACACACTTCAAAGCCCTCCCGTTATGTCTCTCGGGTCCTATGCGTGCCCAGTGTGTATTTGGTTTACGTTTACCGACTAGGTGTTCTTTTATGCGAACACAGAAGGATCTGCCCTTTTCGCCAATGTATTCGTCTCCGCACGTCTTACAGGTGATCAGATAAACTATATCCGAGCTCATGCAATCAACGTCTCTACCACTGGGGCAAATTATGCAATTTTGAGTTGCATATAGACGGTTATATAGGCGGTTACGAACTAGCTGGCGCTTAAGATTACTTGGTGGTATTTCAATTACGCTGACCGAATTCTCTAAGCCCGCCCTTCTTAAGCAGCGTTTTATAGCTGTACTTATATTATTTGAGGTGGAGGGTAGGATAAACGGGACCCTTCTATCGCTAGAGTTGTCGTTTGGAGGCCTACGATTTCCTCTACACCTATCCTGAGCTACAGTTTCGTAGCCATTAGAAATGACTATTTGCCGTGCCAAGTTCCGGGACTCCTCTCTCTGCTCTCTTCCCGTGCACACGTTGGTTGCTGTTCGAAACATGTTTCTTATAAGCGCCCTTTTCGTGTGAGAGGAGTGAGAGAGAGGTAATGAACCAAGATGTTTTTGCTACTTGGCTTTCGGTACCACTTTGTAATGTAGCCATTTTCTGATAAGTGAATTTGTACGTTCAAAAATGGAAGCCATTTTTCTTTCGGCTTTTCTCGGGTGAACTTGATATACTCTGACTGTGCGTTTAACAATTCGAAATATTTGTCCATTTCCTCTTGTGTTGAGCAAAGGACAAAGCAGTCGTCTACATACCTACAATAGAGTAGCGGCCGGAGATCAGTCACCGGTGCTTCCACTTTAGACATAAATGCAATGGCAAGGTTTGGAGCCAGTCGTTGTCCCATTGCAAACCCTCTTATTTGAGCGTAGTACTTTCCGGACTATCTGAGGATTGAGCAGCTCAAGCATTCTTTTAAGAGTGCCATCAAATAATTCTTGATTCTTGGTACAATGCCTACATTTATTTAAACGTATATCTCATTTTTATGTAACCACGAGTTACAATTTTGCTGTTTACTAAGGTCACTGCAAATATTACAGTTAATTATGGCGGTATGATGCTTCGGTCACTTTTCGAGCACTACCAGCATTGCGAAATGGGCGCCGAAGGATCGGAAACAGCTCTAGCCACAGCCGGCTACATTTCAATTCCAGGGCATACACCTATAATACTTTCGTGAGCCCATTTATAGTAGGCATATTCATTGTTATAGAAGTAATAGTTTATGTAGGTAGTCCTTGCGATATGATGTAATTGCTTTTGTTAATTGGCGCAATTATTTTCCAGCTTAGCTGTTAGTCAAGGAGTAATTAAAACGTTTTAATGTTCTTGTCGTGTCTATATCTCTTTCATTGTTATTTAAGTAACATAAATGTTGTAATAGCGACTTCGATATTCAATTCACAATGAATTTAAAATCTTTCTTATAATTCAGATAAGTGGGCTCTTCTGCCAGTAGTAATTCATTTTGTTGCCGGGTGGGAGAACTCGAATTTATAACACTTTAACCTGTGAAGAATTTTCTAAATTAAAAGATCTGAGTCTCTTTGTGATAACCCTCATTTCATTATATTGACATATGTTAGTTGTCAGTTTAGCTTAAGAAGTTTAATATTGACATTTAGAGAAGTCAACGGTCGGACGGTGCTGCGACTTTTAGTTCGCGACGCTGCTAATGATGTCGAGTCAGCATGCCTTGAGAAAGACCTACCAGAATGGGTGGGGTAGCATTGTTATTTCGAAGACTTTCTAATCATCCATTGATGACAGCTTTATTCAAGGTCACATCAGTTGTGGAGAGGAGTATGTTACCGAAGTTTACAAAGATGCCGTTCTATTTGCTACCACATGTTAGTCTGAATGTTAAAGCGCCAAAAAAGTAAGAAGTTTGAAAATGGATCACATCTGTTTTTAGTTGTTATTTTAACCGAACTGTTTTTTTTCTGGGAACATTTATTTAAATCAACAGGACTTACTACTCCATTTTTATTTGTTGCATTTATAACACCTGGGGGTCCCGTTGAGTGTTTGGTGGCGCAGCCTATCATGAAGCAAGATACTGGTTCGACCTCTTCCCCAACAACACCTTAGCTCGGCTATCTCTAAGATTGCAAAGAGAATCGATCTGACTAGAATTCTACGACATTAATAAACAATTCTTCAATTAGTAACCGAAACAACACGCAAAAAAGACCTCTGTGGACGAAAAATGCGAGAAGAACAAATCGGAAGGAGAATGTGCTAAGATCTGCGCCGTAGACCTGATGACAGACCATATAGCAGTAATTGTAAATAATTTACAATATCGTTACAATTTTCTTGGTGTGGCCCACAAATCCGAGCTTTATTTTAAATTTTGCCTTGCAAAGCAGGCATCTATGCGTTTTTTTTGGCTTTTGAGTTTATTTCAATTTCTAAACCGAACGTCTCGGTTACATCGTGATTAGAACTGAGTACTTAAATACTGTTGTCTGTTTATCGTCTTTCTCTCTCTTTTTTCCCCCTTTCATGTGTGCTTCATCTCTAGCAATACATTTAACACTACCAAGTTATCAAATTAAACGAACTAGAATTTTTTCATATGATTTTTCCCCCGAAAATCTGTCTATACAGAAGATATTACGTGGCTCCTAACCAATCAAAGCTTCCTCGTTTAATGCGGAACGATCTTTCATGACTTATATAGCGCCTTCGTTGAAAAAATTTCGTCACTGTAAAACGCTATCGTCAATGAAGCTAGAATAAGATTTACTAGCATGACGATATCATCTCGTCGGCAGCATTCAGCGCGTTTCTGGATAGGGCTGTGACAAAAATGAAACGCATTAGGCTTAACCTATTCCGCGACGAATACCGTATTGCGTGGCTATCTCAACGGACCACGGTCAACTTTTCGTCGGCTGCGGACTTCCTGGTTTCTTGATAATAAAAAATAGTTTCTTAATAATTAGACTAATAGTTTTTGGTTTTTTGAGCATGACAGGATTGACGTGATAGGGTAGAAGAAACTTTACTCTATCGTTTTAAGAGTATGAATGGTATGTATGCCACTATATGCTACGTATTACTATGGTCCATTAAGCAATTAGATTGCTGTCAGCATGTGGAGGTATTTGAACCTTATGTTAAGTTTACATAGGTTTTTTATTTCCACATATTCTATACAATAACTTTCATGATTAAAATCAAATAACGGTTAATTCTTTGTTAAATTACCGGTCAATCTTTTTTGAGAAGTTTTTGTAAATCATCAAGATTAGTTTTTCTAGTCTCACCTCCCCCCTCCCTCCCCACTTCTTTTTCGATCTGCTTTCTATCGAATAAATGTACGTAGTACTTTTAACCTTTTTATTTACTGCATATTCATTTTAATGGCAGGGTATGTTGCGAAATATAACTTCTAAAATAGTGAGATATTTGCAAAACTTCGGACCGCAGGTCTTTGCGGTGGGGAAAAACGCGCTACTATCCTTTCCGGGGAGTGACGTCTTCACCACCACACCATTCGAGTTCTTCGTTTCGCCTGATTTGGGCTCTCTAGACCAATCCCGTTGGCGGGTGATTGCTGATGGCAGTGATCGATAGAGCTAGCTGAGAAACAGGCGAAACGAAGGACTTGCATGATGTGGTGGTGAACGTGTTGCTTCTCGGAAAGGATAATAGTGCGTTCGTTCCCCACCGCAAAAACCTTCGGTCTGGAGTTTTGCAAATATCTCAGCATTATAGAAGTTGTACATATTACCTTAGAAAAACTCTGGAACCCACTAAAGTTAGTATTGATACTGTAGTGCCCATACGGCCGTTTGGTTCAGATCACTATAGATGCTATAATATGCATTAGGCGCGAAATAGGTTAAAGTATCAATCGATAGCCTGAGATTGTAGGATCTCCGTTTAGCAGCCGACAGCGTCCTTAATAACAAGAATTACAACTTTAAAAATCGACTTTTGTTTAACCTCGGCACTACTAACCAATACCTTATTGTGGTACTGAGCTAAAATGAAGTTGCTATGAAATATCTATTCGGCTAACGTTACAACGTCTTCGTCTTATTCAGAGCTGCATTTATTCGATCCGAATCCATTGAAGTGGAGCACCGATCGAACGATGAATCTTACTTGGCGGTGCCGTTTTATACAGGACTGATTCCTGTCAACCAATATGGTCTACCATTTGATAGGCAATGTGTCCTCTAGCAGCCGGTGATGTATAACAGGAATTATTCATTTAGAGGGATCAGACAAACGACAAATGGATGCGTGAAAAATGCTTAGGTTTCAGCCTTTGTTTTTTTCCATATTGCCAAGGATTTGCAGGGTGGTCATTTCTGTACAATTATTTACTCAACCTTCTTTTCAAAGTTGAATGTAGAACTAATCAGAGGAAATCATCATTTCTGGGGCTATCGGTACCTTTTTAGTTTTTATAAATTTGACATTGCGTACAGATGTGCTGCTTAAGTGGCAAAGCTGACGAGTCCAAATTCAAACGAAATCAGAGGTGAAGAAGTGTCATGTAAGTCAACTGATAACTGATAGGTCTATAAACCCCTAAAACCGTCTTTTGACGACGTTTCATTTCCACGGTGGTAAGGGTATGGTAAGCGGTCCACTGTCTTGATTGTTATTTGGTTGGACAAGTTTCTCTTGTAATCTTGGAAGTATGTTGTGTACGGCTCATCGTTTTCCTATGAATCGGAGCGAAATAGCTGAAAGTCTGGTGGTAAGTTCCCAATATTTCTTTACTATCAAAGCATTCACAACAAGTAATTTTTCGAGGGTTGCCGTCATTCTGAGTCACTTTACGAATAGAGAGTGTTAGACAAGATTTGCTTCCTGAATCTGACCATGTATATATTCCTTGCAAATTACTTTTTTTGTTTTCAATTTGTTTTAAAAATTAATTATTTGGAAGTGGAGAAATCCTAGACTTTATCTTTTAACGCTATCGTAATAACCAAAGACACTGGTGATGCATTTGCATGACCGGCATACAGTTGTGAATAAGCGTTTTCATAGTAGATACTTCGAAGGACATATTCACGCTATATGTTTGCAAAAAATGAAGCGAATGTTTGATTCAGAGAACGTTTATCAGCCACTGAGATGTTGCAAGTGCGGAAGGTTATGGAACATGTGTATGAGAAAATTCTAAACAATCCAGAAATGACAATGAATGAAATGCCGATATCTGTGCAGATTCCAACGAATATTGAACAGAAGATGGAGCTGTACTGTAATGAGCAGGTTGGTTTGCGTTAGATCTCAGTGGAATTAATCTACTATACACTGTTTGCAATGTCACTCCACGACCTTGATCAGTTCTGGTCAAGCTTCCTGTCTGTTTGTGATACTCTTGCATCGCTTTAAAATAATCACTTTCCGACATTCTTTGGTAGCGCGTAAAAGTGCTTGCGCATTGTCTACAGAATGTTGTGTACATATAGGTATGCTTCGCATCGATGTTAAAAATCTTTTAGATCAGGGAGTTGAAATGCCCTGAATTTGGTGAAATATTGACTTTTACCTTTGTTAGGAAAGGCAGTGTGCTGTATTTCTTAGGGCTAGTATCGGTTCCCTCCCAGCGGTTAACCCCCTCATTGTGGTGGGGTTCCTGGGTGTCGGGCTGCGATGTGCATCAGGGGGATTCGTCCACTCGGCAGAGCCTTACAAACTGAGAACGAGTCTGTCTGGCGTTTCCATCACGAAATCCAGCTAAGAGTAAACCAATAACCAGTACCGGGATCTACCACTGCCCCGGCATGAAACTAGTCGCATGGTGGCAAATCTCGCTGTTATCCACAAGGGCGGCGACGGGTTGTGCTAGTGATTACCTAGGGCTGACTTTGGCTAGGCTGACCTCAGGCTTCCAGGGAACCACAGTGGCTAAGCCAGCATAACTCCAAAAAAGTAGGATTTTGTTGGGGCCTGCACAACCAGTGAGGACGGGCCACCCAAGTGTCCAAGTCAAAAACAGTGCGCAAGCAGGGCATATGAGAGTATTTTTATTCTTTCTAGAATAAAAAAATGCGAACGGACCACTTTCGATTTCAGAAGCTCGATCCTGATATGGATTTACGGTCGGTGAAACATTTTGTATGGAAACAGGGCGGCGATCTTCTGCTTTATTATAAACCACTAAAATAATCTTGGCTTGTTTTGTCCGCTTAGTGAACCTTTTAGCAGTAGGCACAAAAATAGTGATACTGGTCTGAAAGTTTGCAACTTTGAAATGTCAAGTTCTTTTCATTATGTCCTACTTTCCTACGTATTACTTCTATTGCGGGCCACACTTTGAATACAGAAGTGATGTAATTTATTCCATATAATTGTTTTAATTTTGATTTTAGGTAACCTAATGTTTGTGACCGGTCCATTTCATAGATTTTTTCGAAACGGCTACAGTCATAACTCGTGAATATGAATTATTAGATAAAAAATTAGGCGAATTCCACCAGCCGATAGCCTTTGATACACTTCGATATGGCTTTCTAGTTTCATCATTGATTTCTCAACGCTTTGTCGTATTCTATGAAACATTTTAATCGTTATAGAAACAAATATGTACCTGTTTGTAGAACTCGATCTACACTTAATCTTCTATGTGAACATCGTGATCCACTTATCAGTTTGTTCACATTATCTGTTTTGTTATAATGTACGAAATACACTAAGCGAGACTTTTGAATCTATTCCATTAGCATCTTATGTTCGGCTAGTTTAGCTAGTTTGAAATGAGCTTATTTGATTGTATTATACTCGTTTAATAATACATTTAACATATGGTGTTCGTTGATTGTGATTAAACAGTTACATCGTTTAATTTACTTTACTAGGTTTTCGTCTGTATTTGTTCAAATTATTTGCATTCCAAGAATTAGTTTTCCGTTCCAATACCCGAGTTTAACCGGTGTGAAACAGTTCGGCCGCCGAAACCGGAGATCTAAAGACTTTCTTACCACGTTACACTTTTTCCATAGAGATGAAATGAACAGGACTTAATGTTTTTGTAGAGTATTAATAAAGTCCGCTTGTGTTTGCAAATAGAACCGTCGTTTTGAATGAGGTCAGAGTCGTCGGATGGACCACAAATGCCGCTAGATGAGGACAATGACGGTCAAGCAGTCACTTGGACATCTCGAGAGTTCTTGGTAAACAATCGTTTATCTTTACGATTCAAAGTTAAAGATTTCCTCATTGTTGAGTTACTTGATTATCTGGAAACTGAATTGTTGCTGGATTTGTTAATGTTGTTTTTCTTTTCGTTGTTTATAATTCCTCTTTTATAATTGGTTGCCACTGGATGTCTTTCTTATTCGATAATTTGACTTCGAAGGGTAGTGGACTTTGGGAAGGTGCTATGTGCAAATTTTGTTAGGATTAAAAAGCAAGAAGAGGTACCTTAGGTAGTCCTAAACTTCAAATATTTCAATTTTAGTTGATATTTCGTGAATTTCTTCGATACGCTGCTTACCTTGTAAATTATTCTGCATCATATGTATCATGCTCTCTCGTTTAGCATACTGATTCAATTTTTTCAAGATTCCAGGAACTTCGAATGGAATTTTCACGCGATGGTAGCGTGAAGAAGGCGTTGGAAATCTTGCAACGAATGGTAGCTATAGATGTTAAACAGGTCGATGAGTACGTTTATGTGTTTTTCACTTGTGTCACATAGATGTGTAGCTAGTCTGCATCCTATTTCTTTCCTTTTAAACTATTCTTTTCTGAATTTCTTACTTTCTAACTTCGTGAAGTTTTACAGTGATGCGTGGCTTGAGTGTAAGGAGCTTATTGCAGTGCTATTGAATGCTATACCCGTAGCAGCTTTGCTGGAAACGCAACAGGTTAGAATTCTGAAGGAAATAAATATCGATATACAGACGTCAGGCGTTATTTGCACCTCATTAGGTGATTTATTTTAAAAAAAAAGGAAGTTCACGGAAATAAGACATGGAAGACTGAGTTGTAGTGCAGAAGGAAAAAATTTATTTTGCTTTTTTTTGACCGAAGGTACAGTTGTTTGGATTTGTACGCCTTGTGTTAGAGCTATATCTGTTCCTTTGTCTCCACGTTGCTATGGTGAATTATGGTTATTATGTGGATTGAGCGGTTATATATTGACGTTAATACCCATAAAACGATAGCGCAAACTTTCTTCTATAAATCTATTGGTGTTCAAACTTCTGAAGTACACCAATGATTGAATAATTGTACAAAGTTATCGGTGAACTGGCACCGCACGCAGTATGAAGTTTATTTTGACAAGAGTTTCGTTGTTTTCTAAGTTTCATTCACGATGACTTTATAGAATTAGAGAATATTAAAACCGCAAAGTAAACATCGTAATATTTTTTGTACAGCTTCCACAATTTCGTTAAATGCTGGTAGCATCATTCGGAATGGTGGACGACTTTTCTTTCACCACACACAAGGGATTGATGATACCTAAGAACATGTTAGCGTAAGCAGAAGATTATATCGGGTACATTGAAGTTAGAGCAATGGGAAAGATAACTGAGGGAGTCGAATAATAGAATGATAGTCTCAAGAGATTAGTAAGCTGTGCCTTTTGGGCAGACCCACGGACCTTATCTCTATAACCACAACAATGCTGAGATATTTGCAAAATCCTGGAACGCAGATGTGTGCGGAGAGGAACGAACACGGTATTACCCTTTCTGGAGGTTAACGCGTTCACCACCATACCATGCGGGTCCTTCGTTTTGCCTGTCTCTCAGCTAGTTCTATCGATCACTGCCATCAGCAATCATCAGTCGTACATCTATATTTCAATGCACACTCTTCTTACGCCGCAGTGATACGCGGTCCGACGAGCACTACACGCGAAGGTGGCCGCGCTCGTTAAAGGGTTAAAAATACATTCGTAAGCCTTCTATGTAGTACATCTAGATCGGTAAAGTTCCAGGTAATCCTACTGCGGATCAGCTCTGGCCAGTTTTAATCGGTCATGATAATCCTTGGCGCTTAACTCTACTGACGAAGTTCACTAAATTATCAGTTCACGTCTCTTATTCCTATGTATTTCAGGTTATGTTGCTAACAGCCTTGGAGGTATGTCCTTCTCACGTTGTTACTGCTGTTGCCGATCACCTGCTTGCCCACCAAGACGACGCAATTCCGCTTTTGAACAACGTTGCACAGGCGGTAGCAGTAGCGTTTGCTCGTCGTATCAATCACTCGAATGCTTACGAAAAGGTGCAGTTCAGGAGTTTTTATCTAACCATATTGTCAATCTGTTCGTCATTACAGTGTTTCTTGACCGTTATGTATTAATTTTCTGCTTAACAACTGTTTTGCAGCTTGCTTCATTACTTGCACCTGTGGCTTCTAATCCTCAACTGCTTCAAGAGCTGCTACATCAGTTATCAACCACCGAAAGTTCGGAGCATCGTTTTAAACTCTATCAAGTAGGGATCATGCTCAGTGTTAAATATTACTACTTCCTATAAATTGGGTAGAACTACGCCTCAGATGTCATATATATATATATATATCTTTTAATGATTAGGGTATAATTATTGTTTTATGTGCTTCTGTGTGCAGTACAAAGCGGCTACTATACTGTGGCCCTTGCACCACTGCTAGAACGACTTGTCGATGAACTGTCAACAGACGATATGCTCGTTGTTCTTGCTGCGATAGATGCCTTATCAGACATGGCCATTGCCTCTACAACAGGAGCTAGAATTGTGAATGATTGTGGTGCTCCGCAGAAGGTCTCATCTTATTCTTTTCGATTTGCTCGAAGTCATTCATGAAAGTGTTGAAAGTTTTTCTATTTTGATTTTCTTCAAAATCAAAGTTTTTAAAGACTTAAAATTGGTTTTTTTTAAAAGTTTTACACGCAAGTGCAGTAGTAACACGCATCAGCAGAACAGGACATTTCCACACTCTTCTGGTGGAAGAAATTCCGCTTAGTTTGAAATGAAAGCCTTGGCGATAGAAAGTGAAGAAAAGATAAACGATTTGTGGTCTTCAAAAAATGGGATTTCAGTTGTAGAAGACTTAATTAATCCATATTTTTTGAACAGGATATGATTAATTAGAGGGTTTTTGATCCATTTATTCACTCTGAACCTATATGTCTCCTTAGGTTTGAAAACTTAAGTTTTCTCCCACATGTAAATTTAATTCAATCCGTGTGGTGTCAAGTATGTTAAATATGCTTACCTTTTTGTCTTCCGTTGTGCTATACGTGATCTTGATATTTTGAAGACTGCAAGAACTAGCGAAAAATTACTTTATCTGGACTTGCAACCAGTTTTTCCTCAGTTGTCTTAATACAAAAATTTCGCGTTATAGTGGGTTTTATGAAATAGAATAAGGAACGGTAGGATCTATAGGTCTTTATAAACACTGTACAAGGTTTCCCATTCTAACACTATTTGGATACTTGGATATCCCGTACTCACTGATTGTGCCGGCCCCAGCATAACTTCCACTTTTTCGGAGATCGGAGGTTTAGCCATTGTGGTTCCATAGAGTTCCGAGTTAAGCGTAATCAAGGTCTTCTCCAGGTCGTCACCACCACTGGCAGTGGCCGCCCTTGTGGATCAGAGGGAGTTTTGTTACCATACGACTAGTTTGGTATCGTGACAGTGACGGATCCTGGTATTGGTTTACTCCTAGCTGGGCTTCCTGCCTGAAACGCCGGACTCCTTCTCAGCTTAGAAGACCCTGTCGGGGGATGAATCCCTCCGCTGTACCTCACAGCCCAACACCCAGGAACACCTCCCAGCCACGATGAGGCGGTAAACCGTTGGCAGGACTGCAACACTACAGAGTTCTAATTCTGTGAGACCTACCACTCATTCTGTATTTGGTTTTTTTCCCTTCGAAATTCCTATATCGAGCGAATACACTGTTAAACGATGTAATTTCGTCCATCAGGTGGCGATGGTGTTACCGAATGCTCCGTTTGTTATTGCTTCACCCACGTTTGGAAGTGTTGGATGCAGGATTTTTTTGGTTATTTGGATTTTGAGCAAGTTTTAAATAACGGCATAATTCCAAAATACACATATATATAGTATATACATATATTCTTATCTATATATGTTTATGTATATAAGAACATATGTATATATAGAAATCTAATATTGGAATAGTAGATAAAAGTGTCTTCCATTAGTTTGTCGAATCTCATGTTCTCTAATACTCCAATTTTCAAAAATTTATTCAGCATTTTTGGATAGCCATGTATTGTTATGAGCCGTTATAGATTTCTATGTAGCAACATATTGATTCTGTCCACTAGCCATTTCTTTTCGCATTCCAGGTTTATGAGTTGTTGAGGACTAGCAAAGATGCACCTGATGGAGGATTCATCCATACGGGTGAGTTATTTGGAAATGTTTGTTTTTCTTGTATATGAGAAAGGCTAGTTAGGATTCGCTAACATTATACATTCGTTGCGATGCGCGCCGATTCTGACGTATTTTTCTTCCAGTTTTCCGAGAACTTTGTTTTGTCCTCCCTAGTGCACTAGATCGTTGCTCTCCACACGACAGATTTATTCAGTGTAAGCTGAGAAAAGCTGTTTTATACACGTGGAAATTTCCCTAGTTAATGTACGAATAAGGTATAAAAGAGGGTACTTCCGGCGAAGAGGCTGCTAGAATGCATTCGATCACGGGGCATTTTCGGTCGTACTGGATATTGACTTCAATGCGTATCTAGCGCGCGTGGCAAAAATTTGGAAGTTCTTCCATAGTGCAATCGAAAAAGAACTGGTTAAAAATGTGTTACTAGTGGATATCACGACTTATCACATAAATTGTCTTTGTTTTCTTCTAGCTTGCATAAAGTTTTTTGGTACACTGAGCCGTGTGTATCCAGGAACGGTCAACGACTTTCCTTTGTTCGTGTCAGCAGTTTTCGACGAAGTATGAGCTTTTTGCGTTTCAGTTCTTTTTCGTTCTTCTTGTTTCGTTTAGATTATTATTTTTCAGTTTTCTTTATCGAGCACATTTATGGAAAGAGGCACGATAGCGCTTACGTTAAATGTTGATCTCGAAACCAGCTTATGTTCATTTTTAAACGCCGCTTAAAATTAAAAAATTTGAGTGGCTTTAAGTTTTTATTTTGGAGGACCGTTTTCTTCTGCTCTGAGGAAATTCTACGTATGATCTATGACCATGGTGTGGAGCATATTTCTTTACTTCTGATTATGTTTTATGCCGAAAAATCATTTCAATATTTAAAAGCCTGTAAATCTAGGTTTGTCATTTCGACTTGCTGGACGCCTCACAACGGATGCTCGCATTTGATACACTAGCGCAAATCGCTTACGAAGCACAATCGAAAGAAAATTTACAAAAGTTGCTCGGTATGTGCTAATCTTCTATTATTATTTGTCACTCAGACTACTTTTTCTACACTCTTTTTTTAAATACTTTTCTAACCAAAAATTGAACATTTCGCGGATTACGCAGTACATGTCAGCAGGACTTTTCCTTTTAAAGGTTGGAGATTACAAAAATTCTATTTACTTAGTGTTTAGCTGGTCAGGCAAAATAGCTTTTCTCTGGAGGTCCAAGATAGCTATGACACACCATATCCAGGACGTCCGCGTTTATAATCCAAATTCGTAATCTTTTTACTACGAAGTTTTTCTAGGAAGGCACCTATTTCTGAACTTGTTTGACTCCTAACTGGGTTTCTAAACGGAAGCTATATCGAACTCCTTAATCTTTGTAACCATGCCGGGATCTATTAGGTTATCGAGATTAACTTTACCATTAAAATGTAAATTGCCATAGGTGGTCAGAGTTATTTTTGAAGAGAAAATTTTAAGCTGAATTATGGGTCGCTTGGATAACTAGAATTGCGTCCAAAAAGATGTTTTAGGCACTAATGGTGTATCACGTACCATGGAATCATTTGGGGCTGCGATATCATGTGGGCCTGTCGAACTACGTGCTCGTCACTTGGAAGCATTGGCTACCCTTTTCATGAAAGGTTTGCGCAGTACAATGTTTTCCAAAAGTCTTTTTTTTTTCTCCAGAATCTTGTGTATTTCTGGTTTTTTTTTGTTTGGAAAATATTATGAATAGAATGTCACTGTATATGTGGATGTGAAAGGAATGTTTTCACAATCTTAATCCTTTTATTTACTGCTTTTTTCTTTCTAATGGCAGGGTATGTTGCGAAATATAACTCGTATGTAATGCTGAGATATTTGCAAAACTCCGGACCGCGGTGTATGCGGCACCGGAGTTTTGCAAATATCTCAGCATTACATACGACTGTTTTCACAGTTACACTGTGAGTTTAGGTTGCCATTTTGAAAATTATGATATGAAAGATCAATGCTGTTTAACACATTCACAGCTATGCGTATGTGTAGCACTTTTCAACCTGAAACAACCATGTCAACCTCATGGTGAATTCTGTTCACTGAAATATAAGCAATTAGAATCTACGTATCTTTACCAACAAGCTACTAGTTTTCTTCTCACAACGAAATGAAACTTTATTTTTCTGCGGCTAACTAAATATTTTTCGCTCTTTTTTGTCGAAGCTCATATTCCAAACACCGCAGCAAGCAAGCAATTGGGGTTTAATAGAACGAGACCTGTTGGGGTCAACAAGTGTTTGCAGATGCCGCGCGTACCCATATTTGAAATATAAATATATAATGTAATCACTTTTATTTACTGTCTATTCCTTTTCATGCAGGGTATGATGTGAAATATAACCACAATGGCGCTGAGATATTTGCAAAACTCCGGACGGAACGTGCGAGTTCTTCACCTCGCCTTTCTCTCAGCTAGTTTTCTGTCTACTGGTAGCTTCAGCAATCAACCGTCATCGGGATTGATCTGAGAAACACAAATTGACATTGAACCCAGTTAACCTGAAGTTGAGAGAAAGGCGAAACCAAGAACCCGCGTAGTGTGGTGGTAAACATGTTAGCGGCCGGAAATTGTAATAGCGCTTTCGGTCACCACGGCGAACACGTATGGTTCGGACTTTTGCAAATATCTCAGCATCATTGTAGTTATAAGTGCATGCTTATTTTATATTCGGTAAAGAATTCGATTTTGAGCGGTTTAGAAATTAAAACAATATTTTAGAAAAATTGTTTATACCGTTAAGGCGGTAGTCGTAAGCCACTTATGTACGTCTGTCAAGTCGTGAAGTTCTCCAGTACATTATTTCTCGCAAGTGATTGACATTCATTGTCAAACCCTTTTCGTCGCGATATAGACCGCAGGTTCCTTCAAATAGTTTCAGTTTTAACCGTTTGATTGTATTTGTGAGATCTTGACCCCTTAGCGAACATGTTAGTTTTTCGGTAACTGCCGATAGTTTCGCGAACAGTGGAGAAGCTGGGAAGTTAAGGACTTCACAGAAGTTTATAAGAAACGTTGATTTCTTCTATTAGGAGCATATTTAGTATTTGTTAGATATTCTTTAGTTTTTGGGTTTGTTTCGAATTAAGATTCTTATCGACTTGATTTCCCGACCTAGATAAACGTAACAGGAAGATACTCGTTCCATTGGACGCGAATGGGGCATACGAAACCAATACGTTCCTCATGAGCATCGTTTTTGTGGGATTTAGTCAATGACTGAATGAACAGATCTGAGTAGTACTCGTGGATGATTTTCTCCATAGCCTTTCCGGACGCTGTAACTCTTCCCTTTGGGCGTCGGAGTGCAATCATCTTGGTCTTGTAATTGGCGAAGCTTCGGTGGGCTTTGTGAATGCTATTCGCAGCCGCTGTAGTTTCGGCCATAGCTGCTGCTCTTCTCTCTCTAAGATCTTCTTTTATCGCCTCTCTGAATTGTTTTACAAGTTCGGACGTTAGTTCGCCGTTGGCTGCAGCTCGTGCGATTCCACGTTGGCGTATTGGCTCGAGTGTTTCTGGAGACAGACGTCTCTTGATGACTTTCGAACTCCGAGCTTTCATAGTTCTAGCGTGAAGATGTTTAATGAGCCCATCGTATTCTTCGTCGATGTTATCGACAACGGCATCGTCCCAACAGCCAACTGGTTAATTGAATAAGTCCCAGTTTACGGTGGTTCTAAGACTTGGGTTTTTGAATTTAGCGGCTTTTTCTCTTATTGGCGAGAAATAGGATCTCGCACGAAGGAGACGATGGTCTTGGTCTACATGATAAACTCAGACAGCCGCTCACCTTGTTCGTTCCATTCTAATCCATGGGTCCCTACGTAACGTTCTTCAGACGTTCGTCTTAGTCCAGTCTTGGCGTTGAAATCTCCAATGATGACCTTAAGAATGTATGGTCTGCTATGTAGAACCTCTCCAAATCCATATAGATAAACGACGAGGATTGTGAAAGCGGGTATTGATCCTCATCTTTTTGATCGTAAACGTGCGATTCGGGTTGTTAGTTGCTCGAATGAGCCAATATTCATGGACAAACTCGTGTTTACGAGAGCGCCGACGCCGCATACTCCTCTACTGTCGCATGTTCCGAGGAACAGTTCTTCTTCGGTGTCATAGACATAGGTGGCGTCGTCTCGTCTCGGCCAGACCGATGACGTCGTACCTCATCCTTCTTGCTTGCATGAGCAAGTCTTCTATCGAGGACTCAGATGCAAGCGTACGTGCATCGTAGGTAAAAATCGTCACCATAGTTCTTTGTAATCCAGGCAGCTTCCATTGACCCTGAGATTTTAGCAGCCTCTCCGTACTCATCCTACCCAGTGCTGCGAAATTGGGGGCTCTTTCGGGATCAGGGGAATAAGGCCCTTTTTTCTTTTTACTATGTTTAGCATTTTGATACCCACGTATACTGAACTCTGAAGGTCTAAAGGTGAAGGGGACTGGATATAGTCACGGGTTGCTTGCCAGGCTCTCCCAGAGTGGACATGGAGCTTATTTGTTGGAGGCGACTCCCAACCGCCTCCCATATACTTCCCTGTCACTTGATGGCAGGCTTTTGGACGATTTGACTCGTAGAATACAATCCGCAAAAGCGAGAACGCACCCACACACGCATGTATGAATACACCTAACAAATACAGAAAGTTTGTGCCAAATCGGCGCAGCAGGAACCGAGAGCCCACCTCTTGGATCAGGAAATCCACCTGCTTCCCAGGAAAGCAAAGGTCGCTTTTGGTCCGCGATTAACCACTTATCCGCTACCTGGGAACGCGCCACGTAGCCTCGCGACTAACCGGCTCGGGATCCCTCATATAAGAGAGGTCCGCAGAAACTGTAACTTGCGTTAATTTGGCAATATTTGCACATCCATTTGGTTTTTATTTGATTTAGCGGTTTCGCAAGTTTACCATGAGCTGGAACTTGTTGCTTTCAAGTTGAAAGCTTCACTATTTTATTATATATTATAGCTTCACTATTTTGCTGTTATATTATCATTTTTCTTTCTCTAAATTTAATCCATAGGGTCACAGATTCATTAAAAATTCGATGGTCCGTTAATAAGTGAGTGTAGAGGCGCCGAGGAATGAAGGTGTTGTGAATCTTTGACTGACATCAATCATCCTGTTTCTTCCTACTACTTCGATAGTACCAAATTTTTGAACGATATTCCTCACATTGTTTTCTCGACATAAAATATCGGTAAATGGTGATTATAGAGCAACATAAATTCTTCAAAATTGTTATTTTGCAGGCGAAAATGAAATGCTGAAAGAATGGTTCAAATATATGGGTGCGCCAATGCCATCCGTGCTGCTTAGTCTTGTCAAAAAGCCGTTCCCTGACTTACGAATGGCTTCGCTACGCGCTTTTGCGTCTCTTCTTTCTCACCCGTTCGGAGTCGAAACGTTCCTGGAGACGTCGGGGTTAGCGTTGAAGTCATTTTCTAACTTTTCGAACTCATTTTTGATCCACGGTTATGAATATATTTGATTATTACATCTAAGCTATTTTTCTTCAAAATTACATAATCTAAGCGCAACCAAAAAGTTGCGAATACGTACCGAATTCCGGTAGTCATTTATTATTTATTAGTAGTATCTATTTTCCAACAGCAAGCACTTGGCCGGCGACGTAGAGGTATTGATCGAAGGACTGAGCCCACCGTGTCTTGTTCGTTTCGGGCCACATACACATTGATGGTGAAGTGAACTTTGAACTCAAGGTGGTCACTGCCGCAACTACTAGTTGATCTAGCACATGGTAGCCTAGGAGCGCCACTGTGTGCTGTTTAATGGAGGCATTAGGCTGTAAAGAGTAAACCTTTGAACCACATCTTTATGTCGTTAGCAATCACTAAACGATGGTCCAATAGGCCTCTGCACTAATTGGCGGTTGGCAACCGAACTGTTCGGTCATGGTATACTACATGGTTTTCTGCTTTCGCAGATGAAGGAGTTCTAGGACCTGATGGCGGTAACTGCTCTATTACACTTGGTGTGTGAATGCATCGGCAGCTGAAACGGCGGACAGCGGTCGCACATCCTGCATGCAATTGGGACTTTGGGCTGTCCGGTTTCCTTTAACGCGTGCAAACTTAAATACTTAGATACCTGCATGAGCCATCTTCACTGGTTGTGCGGGTCCGATTTAGCGAGAATAAGTCGACGTGAGCACAGCATGCGTTAAGCTTTCGAATTATATGCTTCATAGATTTTCTGAATGCTGCTCAGAACATAACCAAGTGCTGTTTGAGTAATGAGCGTTGGGTGTGTTGTTGATTTGGTTGAGGTTAGAGGGTTTACCCTCATCGGACGTCGGATGATGAAGAATTTGGTTTCTTCGGTAATGATGTTTGCATTTTTGGCTTAATGATGAGTGGACAAAAACATTTGACATTAAGAGAGTGAATAGCTAATAAAAAGAATCATATTCACTGTGATCCATTTAAGTGGTTTTTATCGTAAATATTTTATGGGAAACTGTGAAATTGACTACTTACAAAGAAAACTTTCTTTGTTTTTCCATCAATGATAATTTACAGTTTTGTCGATTGGTTACTGGATCGATCAAGTGAGAAGGATTGGGAAGCGAGCCGTATGAAAATGGACATCATTCGAACAATGATCGCGAGCCAATCACCACTTATCGATGCTCCCCTGAGGTTGAGGATGAGAGCATATTTTGTTGCTTCTCCCAGAGATCCGCCTTCGGTAGAATTGGCGCTGTAGCCTAGAAAATTATTCCTTCCCCTGCCTGATACTTTCTGAAAGTTCTTGTTTAATTGTAGAGTTCTTTTTCGTGTTCGATTGTTAAAACAGTTTCCAAATTGAACGAGTGCTGCGTAATTTTTGTTGATGATCTGTTTTTCTCAGAGTGACCGTAATCGTTTAAGCATCACAGTCTTCTCTGCTCATGTTACTTTCTAGTTCGTATTTCATTATAGTAAAAGCTAAAGAATACTTTCTGAATGCACTACTCCCATCCAGTTACTGTTAAATGGTTTTCGAACAAATCACTGTACAATGTATGAAATATTTTATGGTAGTTGTTGTGATTATATGTATAATAGTATGAGATTGAGTGAAAGTAATAAAGTTCATTGGTGCAAGGGTTTATTTTTTCAGGTGGAGAACTTTCCATGGTTAGAGTCATTCCATATATCTGACTATTATTTCATATTCTTATCTGTCACTGTCATTATCCAACGAAATGTATGGATTGCTAGTTAAGGCTTCATATATATCTAAATACGACGGATATTAAAGTATATTCTTACCCCTGAGATGGAGCAGTTTGGAGCAGACTTCTTTCCCATCACAAGATAGATTTGTTTAGTTCCGCTTTTCGCATAACAACAGGAGTAGACCCAAGTGAATGCGACTAAGTGGACTGTAATATTTCGAAACCGACTTTCCCTGAACCTCGGTATCACTAATCAATATGTGTTCTTTCTTTGATGAGCTTACACGAGGTTGATAATGATTATTATTATCATCGTTATCATTATCAACCTCGTGTAAGCTCATCGAAGAAAGAATATATAAGTGGTCTGTGTTAGACCTCTCGCCTCTTGCTCTCGAGTTCTCTATTTCATGTTTACCACCTACTACAATTCTTTTGTGGCAGGGTTTTATATGGGATTCAACTACAATGATGCTGAGATATTTGCTTAACTCCAGACCGCATGTATCTGCGGTGGGGAGCGAACGCGCTATCACCCTTTTCGGTGGCTAACCCGTCCACAACTCTTATTCTGGTCCTTTCTTTGTTGCTGATGGTTTTGGTACATATGTATTTCATATGCACTTGATAAATCTTAATTATGATGTTGCTCTTTTGCGCATGAAAGTTCTCTCCATATTTAGCAGAGGTTCCTTGATTCTTGAGAAATTTCCTGTTCGTTTCTATCCTCCGAACTTCCCCATCCGATCGTTTCGGTACCTAATAGTGTGTGCTTCATGGACGATGACGTAATTTGTCGAAGTTCGGAAGAAGAACTGCTGATATCGCATATACATGTTATTCCATATGGTATATGGGCAGGAAGAGATGACTGTCATGAGGTGCTGTTAAAACTCATGGATGGTCTCCACTGTCTTAGAGGATAATTTTTTGCCTGTACATGTGAAGGAGATTATCTTGTTGTTCTAACTGGCGACATGAGTGCGCTTGGCTATCTTTTCAGCTTCTGTCAGTGTTATTGTATTCTCTCCTCTCTCTTGAAAATCTTTCATTTTTTCTCCCAGTCTACAAAGAGCAACCTAACTAGTGGTTGCTAACCTAACAAATTGCCTATGGTTCGTGCAACTCCATATTGACAAATCAGCTTGAGTATTTTTTGAAACAGCCGTGTTCTGAGTTTCGAGCTGTCAATTTTATTACAATCTTAACCGTTTTATTTACTGCCTACTATTTTTAATGGCAGGGTATAATGCGAAATATTACTTCAACGATGCTGAGATATTTGCAAAACTCCGGACCGCAGGTGTCTGCAGTGGGGTACGAACGCGCTATTGTCCTTTCCGGGGAGTAACGGATCAGGGTATCAGCTTAACAGG